TTCAGTAAGCTGCCCGACAATTCGTCTTTACTTACAAGTAAGGTGATGTTATCATTTCAGCAGTTGCCGCTTAGATGTTTCAGTTTATTTCCACTACTTGACTACATCTTCCAAAGGAAACGAAACAATTTAGACAATCATGATCTTTGAACAAATTTATGATAATGCTGAAAGAAAAGGAGCGTTTGCTTAGCCCTTTATAAGTGATATTTGAACCCAAAGTGACTGAAATGTTAACCGATGCTGGAAAGCGCCTTTTGCATGCTTTTGTTGGCTGAACGCATTAGCGAAATACTGCACTTTCGAGGGTTCCGGTGATCACACTTGCGTCGGTTGGCCGTCATCATGTTGTGGCGATGTGAAAAAGGTGAGTTGATGAAACCCGAATTGTTTCCACATAATTGCATTGGCATCGTTGCCATGTAACTGACGAAACTCGGTGGCGGTTCATTAGACGCACAGTAGCTACATTTCAGTAAGCTAAGGTAATGCCGTGTTTCATGAATTTTGTACGCTTACAATAAGGCGATTGAAAATTGACAACCACAGTTTTTCTTTAATTGAGTTTCTTTGAAGAAGTTCCCCTTGATTAAAAAACGTGCTATTTAATCATTTCACGTCTATATAATGTCTTCCGCTTTCCTTATTGAAGGAATAAAAAAAGTTCAAAGACAGCTTTAGTTGTGCCCTAAGTATCAAAATTGATCTCCACCGAAGAGCAGCTGTTAACCTTGCTGGATCAATTCTTCATGATCTACGTCATAGAAACGACTGATCTTGTCCAAAAGCCTCCATACCTCATTCAAAGAATTACTTATGATTGGTTTCGATGGTCTCACCCGACTTGTTTTTGATTGCAATGCACAATGTTAATGTCACTCCATCGACCGCAAGGCTATCGCATTAACAAGGGCTTAGATAAGCAGTTTCGTTACATCCAAATGGCTGACCAGTTTACTGTGTCATACACAAAAATGCATTTAATTGGAAGTGAGTTAAGGTGAATCTCACATCTAAACAAGACAAAGAGGAGTGAGTATAGTTCTACAAAAGTCAACTACACAACAAAGGCTTACAAATGAAATTGATGTAGTAGAGATCATAGGGTACATATAAATGACATCCATAATCCATTCTCAAGGACCTACAATTGAGCATTGTTAAATGTATATTTCATGTTTTTAAACGTGTGTAATAAATAGGGAGATCGTAAATGACATATTTACTAGACTGGTAATGTGCAATTCCTGCTGAGGACTTTCATTTCATCCCTTCGAATGGGAGTTGAAGCTGAAGGTAAGAGGCCCTTGTTAGTCATTTTGCAGTATTCCAGTTCATAAGACTGCAGTTCCTTGTCGCGATCATATAAGCGAGTCAGAACTATTCCAATTACAGATATTAGTACAATAATAAACACGGATGAGCCAATCCCGATCGTAACTGTGTGATCTTCATGAATATCATCTCCACATGTAACACCTAAAATGGTTTTGAGGACTGGCTAGCATCATGCAGGCGAAGTCAGCCGGTGTCATGCAGTCTGTGAATTGATGGTGTAAACAGACATTACTTGGAGTGTAAGCTAAAAAGCTTAACAAAAGTGTTGTGAGCATGAAAGTTAATGAATTAGTCTTGTTGTGCTTAAATAGGGTGCTAAATTCTGCGAGGCTCAGATCGGAGAAAACCTACCCGCTCCGGTAAAACTGTTCCGATTGAAATCTCCGAATGACTGAAGTTTAATGTGGCGTGTGGTGAGGACGACGTAGACTACGTTTGTATCATTAAAGGAGATGCCTTGGTTTCTAGTTCGATTTATAAACTTCTCCTTGGAAGCATTCAGGAATGATGTGAGGACAATGTGCCTGCTGGAGGCGCATTGGTAAAAGTCTCCAGCTCGTGCACGAAATCGATCCAAATTTTTGCTTGTTGCTACGACTTCATTGCTACCTACAAAGTAGACCACGTGCTACTGTTGGCGGCGCTCCGCGCTGCATTGTTAGATTAACTAGCTTTAAATATAATCCGCAAGCTTGTTTTCTACCATAAATAGTCAAGAGTGATTAGTAACAATGTTTGCTTGTTAATTTTAAGTGTCCGAGCCTAAAACGCAAGCAATTTGATCGCTCCTGAACTTCCCATACACGAGCGTTTGACAACAGCTGCCGCTCATTTCTTCTAATCGCAAAAAATTATCATGCAACTGCATTACATGTTAAATGTGAAGTAGAATTTAATGGTCTGGAATGGAAGTTTCTCCCCATTAAAACATGGTTCTAGCATTCTTCCACAAAATATAGTTTAACCATCGAAATTATCAGCCATTTGTCGCAAATTCTTTTTTACTAAGGAGTCTAACACTTTTTAAAAGCGTGGTTATATTTCAACACGATTTTCATGGATAAATAACTGGATGAAGATTTCAACAACCATTTAAAGCCAAGTAGAGGCAATTTTGAATGCCCGAACTTAGATTTTAGGCAAATTTTGTCGACTGCTATTTGGATTTATCAGTTTGTCCACTTCTTCGAGAATCTGGCCAGGTGATGAAATAAATTGACCACTAGGTTAGTTAACAATCAATTTACCTAGTAGGTTTAAACACCTATTGATTGTGAGAAACTCATACTCGACTAGTGTGTCCCAGCCATTTGCAACAATAGCAAGACTCACCGATAGCCGCTTGGAGAATGGATAATGAGGAGAGACTGTACGTAAGTTGGATTTCAGTGAGACCGAAGGTACCAGAGAGTGCTCCAAGATGGGCACCCACACTACTCCACCCTACCTCTCCGTCTTCATAGTACTCAGGCTTACGACTCCACGTAAATTCCAACACCCAGGGGACGCCGTCTCCAGCGGGATCCAAATAAATACCCATCTTTCGAGTTCTGTTGCCACAAAAAGTCATACCATCGTCTGAAATTATCGCTAAACTGGTGTAATTGAGTTCTCTTTTCGCCTCCACCTCCTCAGCGTGTATTGGACGCGAGGCGTTCCTCGGGGTCACGACAGAGAAGCCGGATGAAGTATTCGTAGGTGGTGCAAGTGAAACAATCTGACAGCCCAACTTTAATTCAAAAATACTGCTTATCACAGTCTACTTTATTAAAGCAAGTAGCCATTAAGCACTACGGTTGGCTTCTATGTAAAGAGATAAATAAAATGAAAGGATAAAAAAACTCCTGTTTTTACATGAGAGACACACGTTTTAACAAAAATACTTGAGACACTTTATTTTCATGTGCCAAGACGAGAATGTGGATCAAATTAAATCGTGTACCCTGACAACTAGATACCGAAACAGGTTGGTTTCTACTGCGTTTCGAAAATTGACTTCGAATGCTAATGTGTAAACGATAAAACCTTTCCGTTTGATGAATTAGATGGCATAAGATAAGGATTCACATAAAAGTTGTGAGGAAGTTTACGCTGGAGCCACCATCACCAACCCAGCGTGTGGCATTTTGCCTTATGAAACGATAGCGGTTTCATAATGCGTGGCTCTGCTGTTGCAGAACTATAGGTTAGACTAAAAAGATATCAAGCTTCAGTAACGAATTATATCACCCACCCTATTCAATCAATCAAACTCAATGTTTTTCATGATTAGACCATGAGGGTAGAGTACATGCAATGATTGCCCTACTTATGCTGCTCGATTTCCTTTAAATTTAAGCAACTTTTCATACTAGAATTCCACTGTAAAAAAATATACTCAAACTGTAAATGTAACCGGTGAGCTTAATTAAATCCGTTAGAATATTGAATCCAAGTTGTTTATTTGCTACTCTGACCGCTTAATGTAAGTGTAACATTAAATGTTTCAAGGCTAGAACAGTCTGATCCACTGTATTTCGACATTCAGTGCAGTACTCTGGTCGAGGCTGCAGATGCAGACAACCTTCGGTCCACCTTATGTGCAGTGTTGCTGGCACTACTAAGCCTCCGAATTCCCCAATGCGCCTCTGTAGTGATAGCTACAGGTCAGCTAACGTGTAGGAAGTATTCTAAGGGTCACAGCTAGAACGCAAATAAGGTCACCCTCTCAAACCTGTCCTTACTACAAGAAAAACTGCATAAAAGAAATCCATATTTGATGAGGTTAGTGGGTATAATCATACCTTGGCATGAAACATTTCATTAACCAATTTCATCTTTTTGAAAGCTGGATATTCACGAAAACAAACGGATACTCTCAGCCAGAGAAATGTATTTAATCCGTTACCAAATTAAAATTTATTGAAATTGCTTTGAAGTCCTAGTAGCACCATATTGTGCCTTTCAATTTGCATTTCATGGTCCAAAAAAATCCGAATAGCCTTAATGCTTGGCATAATTTGGGAAAATGAGCCCATCACATGTGGTTGACAGTGAAACTCCAACCTGAACACTCCACGCTCATTTTGATAGTCCCAACATCGACCTCGAATAAGTGAGCACTTTTAACGTTGCTACGACCTTACAAGAAGAAAACTGTTATCAAGTTTCAGTATTTCCACTAAAAATCAGTTCCGGGAATTTTAGTGAAAACAACAGTCAGTGATGCCTGTAAAATCAATGAATTATAAAAATTTAGCAAAACCTAGTACTCCTCTACATGACTGCACAAATTTTTTTCAATCGTATACCAGATTCATTAAATAAATCCGATGAAATGCATTGAGGCTGCTTTCAATCGCCTCCAAAAATCCACCATTTGCAGTTATAAGAACTCTTGAAAAGTGAATATTTACTTAGGCACAAGCAAGATTTGAATTTGTACACTGCTAAATGTGCGACCCGCCCATCAAAGGCCATATGACCGTTATTTTGCCAGAACCAAAGTACCCCTTTCTAGAAACCTTCATGTGCATTTTTACTCCTCAGCGGGATTCTTCACGTTCTAAAGCATCCATAGTACTTTCACACAAACATACCCGCCCGTCTTTTCCAGCGTAGAGGAAACTGAGGTGCGCTTGCATTTCTAGCAGCATGCCCACCATAGCTGCATCGTGTGGACACAAGCCAAGATATCGGTAAGATGGGGTCGAGAGCCAAATCTGATCGTATGTAGAATTTGTTATATAGCCAGAGGCCTGAAGAGACTTCAAGCATTGGTTTATCGCCTCCCTGCCTTCCTTCTCTTGCGCCTTTCCAGAGGCGTCCACAACCATACGCGCCGGGTTGACGCACCACATAATGTTAGGTGTGCCTATTACGGAGAAAATAAACAAGCCAACTTCTCTTCGTCTGTCCTACCGAAATATTCCACGTGGAAGTTCGCTGATCTAGGATAGTTTGCCAGTAGCTCAATCTGACTTAACTATGCTTACTGCAAAAGGAAACGCTATACCCTTCGACCAGCTCCTCATTCAGCAATTTGAATCGGGAAACTTATTTCAAGACCATCAAGTTTGTATTTTCGACGCGTCTATTCTGTTTGGATCCAATAAAAAACTCAACTCGACTTGGAATTCGAGAAGATGCCAACCGTCCCATCTTTTTTTCATATTTTGGACTTGTGGTTAACTGAGCACTGCAAATTACGTACATAAGCAACGCATCTTGCAATAAGGGAAATAAGAACTAATTTCAATCCTCGAGTACCAGGGTAGTCAAATACAATACTCAACAAAAGACGACAGCCTGCTCCAAACTTTGCATAAGAAAATCGAACTTCCTCATTAGATATGCCCATGGAACTCTAGTAACCATCAGGAATCAAACAAACCTTTGCGCGCAAAAATCGTCTTACAAACCGACAATCTTTTCTTGATAGCCATGCCCTTTATTCAATTGCCTTCACAGAATAACGATAATGAATCTTGGTCTTTTGATTTCAGAATCGTACACACATACAGTTTAATTTTAAACCAAAGTAGAGCAACTTAAAAAATAAGCAAAGGAAAAGAGTGCACCTATGTCAATGAAATCCAGAAATTAGGACTTAGGTAACTAGGTGTCCTACTATCGCTTAGTATTCATGAACCACCAATAAAATAATAAAAGCACGGAAATTTGCTCCTTGTAGATGTGCAGTCTATTTATAGGTATGTAAAAACAGTCAACGACTCAGCAAAGGCAATAATAAGTCAAAAAGGGTGTGAAAAATGGTCTTACAATGTTCAATTTTAATGCTTATAATGAAATCAGGAGTTCCAATTTCCATGTCAGACGTTTTATGAATCACGTTCGTTCTTCGAGCGAAAGTGCTTTCGAACAGCAACGCCAGCCAAAGCCACAATTGCACCTCCAATCACGATTCCCAGAGTAGCACCCGTCAACTGAGTCACCGGAAAAGTAGCCTTCATGTCGCGAGGACAAATCTCAGTTTCAGCTAAAAAATTTATTCTTATCCAACTAGTTACTTGTATGTTGGAGATTAAAGGCTTGTAAGGTAATATTTGCCAGAGAGAGCAAGACGCCATTGTCCAATGGGATTTCGATCTGAGATGAGCACACAAACATTTTTGATAGAGATGTCATGAACTTCGGTGAAGAATCTGCCGAATAAGTTTCATCTCCATGATTAATTGTTAGATTTCGAAGTACGAAGGCAGTATCCTGACGATGTTTAGTGAAATTAATGTGCACAACCCAGTCAGTACCGTTTATTACGAGTTCGAAGGAAGAATCCCTCGGATCTCGCACATAAGCCTTTTGAAGATCAAATCGCTGATGTTCCTAAGTATTCAGATGAGTTGAAAATCGCAAACTTACACCTCTTACAAGCACCTGAATACTAAGCGCGCCCCTTACATAAGGAGGTTGGTCAATTCTGATACAAGTGAACCCCTCCTGCAATGTCTGTACACAAACGCCTAGGCCAACAGAAGGACACGAAGCATTTTAGATGCATAAAAAAGATTGTCGTAGAGGCGGATCAACAACGAAATGCCTCCAATGATAATGCGGTTCAATACCTCATAAGGTTTAGCACAAAACATTTGTTGCGTGGAAAGCGGCAACACGTTGGCCGTACATATGCCTAATACTACCTAATAAAGTGTCCCAACTCAAAAGGTACAATGCAGTCATCCGGATAAATCTATTAATGAGCATCCTGAATTCTGCAAAATGCCTTTCGAACACAGTAATGCAACACAATTCCTCCTAAGAGCAAGCGACACTGAATCCTCAAATTGGTTCCGTGACAGTCTTACTTAATATGCACCGATGATCGAAAAGGCATTTACTAGATATTAATTAATAAATCATAGAAATAAAGGGAAAGAGAACCGGAGTAATTTCAATAAGTTTGGTGTTTAACTAAACAGAGAACCAGAGGAACGTATTATAGAGGACACGCAAAACATGTAGGAATCCAAACCTACATAGGAAAAGTAATCCAAAGTTAAAAATCATTGGTTGATAGTCTCTATGAGGACAGCAAAACAGTGGAACAGTAGAGTCCAAAATCAACCAATCAGATTCTCGACTGAAACACCATTTCCAAAATGGTGCTGAGAAATTTTAACACCTATGAAAATGAAGAAATGACAAACAGGGAATAGCATTTTTGGCAACAGTAAATATCAAAATAAAATAAAGTGCATCTAAATTAGTTTTATTTTAATTCTATCCCAGAGAATAGTCAAAATCAAATTTTACCATAGTTTAATTAAGAACATATAAAATAGTTGTTTCCTAATTGATCCGGCAGAAGAAAAGTGTAGCGGCTTGAGACTCCCCATCAGGTGTAAGAAGACAGTAAAAGGGGCTGGTTACATGAGATCCGAATGGAACAGAACAAATGGACCTGAGCATGGCCAGAAGGCCAGCCCACGTGTACGAGGGTCAGACAAATCCCAAAGTGATCGCCGAACGTCAGGTAGTCGCATAAACACAGCATTACAGAGGGGCTTTTTATTTAATAGTTTGCTCTACTGCTTGCATGGTAGATGTCCCCTCTAGCTGCAACCATTTACAAGTTTTCCCTGAATACGGGCATTCGCTTAGTGTAACGCCTCGAGACCACCTATTGGGTACACGAAGGTGTAATACTTTGTTTGTTTTTGACATAGAATATCTGGCGATTACTTGCCATTCGCCTGGACCTTGCACGCGTGGCCTGGTCTTTGGACCGAGCTCAGACTTATTTCCTTTTTTCTCCCTAGAACACATGTGTTCAGATCAAATAGTTCCCTTTTTTACCCATCGGGAAGTGCCGGGATGCTACAAAAGGCATGATGTAAGAATGGATACTTCTACCCATGGTGGAGATTCTTGGTCCTCCGCTACCCTGTAACATAATTTTAGCATTTTTACTTTGAAATGCGCATTTCAAGTCATCAACAACTTTTAATCTATATTAAAAATTATGGTTTCGTCCCATTTCCCCATCTCTTTGCGGATTAATTGCATTCACATTATTTGATAAATGAAAATGTTTTGCTGGAATACGGAATGTTACAAATTGAGGGGAGAGAAACTTTTCAGCCCGCTTTTCGGGAGTACAACGTCCCTCAGCAGAGGATCAATGTTAAGTTCTTTTTTTCCTCCCTAAAAGGTAGGTTTAAACATCAAATGGGTATCCCGAGACTTCCCATAGGGTAGGAGAAGGCAATTATTGGGGCTAAAAGTATGTATTGCGGGGAGAACAAAGGGTTAGGTCCAAGCTTGGCTTGGAGGCCATCCGACGGCTACAAGGGCCAAAAGAATGTCAAGAAATTGCTGGAAATCAGATGGCCACGCAAAAAAAGTATTGCAGCATTTTTTTGCAAGGTATGGTATATAGCACAGAATTTTCTGCAGACGTGCGCAAATGTGATTATAACGTACAGAGGCTTCTCACTAGGTTGAAGAAGAGATTTAGTTTGGCCGAATACATGCTTGTAAGGTGTGGTGGAGAGCGAACGAGAGTGTGATAGATACGAAAGTGACCTCCAGCCATGCAGACAGTCATGTAATCAGAGCATAAGAGTTTTGGCATGCGTAGGTGACAAGTAAATGCGACTGGGTTTTTAAAATTAAGCTATTTGTGTGCAAAGAGGTATATCCATCTGAACATAAGCAAGGTCATCTGTCCCCAGTCCTACGAGTCAAGCTAAAAATCAACTTAAGGACGCCAAACAGCCACCATTGTGCTAGGATTACTCGAATATACGGGAAAGTGATTATTCTCAAGTCACCTTGTTTTAATGCATTCGAATTACGTTGCTGTAATTCCCAAATTGCTTGTTAGACACTGCGCCTTTGTCCCGAGAGCAATGAGAATCACTATTAGTGTGTGCAATTTTCGCCTCCCACAAGTCAGCAACAAATTCTCCCAAGAAGATGCTGACGAGCTCCCCTCGCAGATGTGGCGTGAATGCGTACAGCT